TATATATATATATAAGTAAGAAGACCAAAGGTGTGACAATTAGAAACCTAAATTATCACAGAGCTTCTAGCAAAATCACTTAAATTAAGCAAGTGGTCTCTGAGTAATGCAAACTGCAAACTGTTCTTCAAATTTTTGCAGGTCCTGTCTGTAGTAAAATGGCATTTTAAACCAGCTTACAAATGTGTTTTTAGCAGTTTTAGAATTCAGTATTTGTTTCATGGCTGGTGTTAATCAGTAGCTCTAGTACATGGGATCACTACAGGATTTGTTGCTAGCTGCACCATGTGGTCGGCACGTTTTGCATTTTCATCATCCTGCAAGTTTTCAATAAGGTGTGGGTTTTGTGGACTGCTGTTTGAGAAAAAAAACAACAACAATGTGTTACCCTTGTTAGAATATAGACTTTTTTGCCTCATTCCTCATTTCAGGCAGATGATGCAGCTTTGTCGTCTGTTATCATGTGTCTCGGATTATATACTTCATTCTCTTTCTTTGTATTTTCTTTATAGTTGTAACTAGATTTTTTTTACAGATGTTATATATACCCTAAAAAATCCCATTCATTCATTACCTTTCCATTTCATGAGATTTGATTTTAATATTTTACAACAGCTTTGCCCTGTAACTCCTATGAGTGTTCATTGTCTAAATGCATTAAAAACAACAGCATAGCACTGTCTGCTGTGTCTGCTTCCCTAAGAGATGTTACTCCTAAACACAATGTTATGATCTTTTAACTAGACAGTAGCTAAAGACTACCGTTTTTTAAAAATAGTTGTTTATGATACGTAGGATTTAGTGTTCGTCTATATTCTAAAGAACACTTGAATACATGCAGCACTGTACATGAGTCTAGAGTAAATCTGTTTTATTCTGCTGTGGTTACAAATGACTGTTTATTTTAATTGAATTGAATTGAATTCACCTGGTTTCATAGCTGAGTGTGAAAAGGAAGCCAAACAAAATATGAATCACACACATACATATAGGTGTAGGTAGGTGTGTGTAGGTTTGTGTGCGCGCGGGCGCGCATGTAGGTTATGTCACGTGTTTCAGACGCGTAACGACTTCCGTCAGTGGCGTCACTGCTGTTGGCAAAGATGGCGGTCTCCTGTGTGCGAACCATGGGTTTGGTTCTTGGAAAATCTGTGAATTGTAGCTCGAGTTTAGACGCTGTGATGTCACAACTGAGCCGACAGGTGAAGTGTATGCTCATTTTTAATAAGTTAAACTTTGATATATTTTGAACAAATGCAAGCGTATTGAAATTAAGTACAAGACACACAATGTGACGTCCTTGAGTTAGCATCCACTTGCATCGTCTGTTAGCCAAAACTGCCTTGACAGATGCTTGAAATGAATGCCAGCGTACATGGCATTTAGTGTCACAGTGGTGTGACAGACTTTTAAAGTATTTTAATTTAATTATGGATCCTTTAAAAGGGTTCGGCTGTAGTTTGGTGTTGCTCCAGACATTTACCAAGTTAGCGTGACTTAGCTAGCTTTGCATCCTGTTTTGCTCCCCAGGTCCTGGGCAGGCAGATATGTGTGAGCTGCGCACTTCATAGAAAGAACCTGGCAGCTGCAGGCCCGGAGAAGTTCACAGTGGAGTTCATTCAAAAGCAAGCGGAGGAGTTTAACATCGGGAAAAGGCACCTGGCCAACATGATGGGAGAAGACCCCGAGAGCTTTACACAGGAGGACATAGATGTAAGTCAGAGTGGGTTGGTTTTTTTTACTGGATGCATGCACATGCACATGCACATGCATATGTTGTTTGTTTGTGAGTGGCTTTCTTGTAACCAGTGGCTTATGGAAACCTGTTTTGTAGCTGCAGTTGTGGTGATTTACTGACTTTTGTCTGCAGTTTGTGAGTCAAGTGGCTCCACGTTGATAAAACACAATTTTATCAAACCTGTTTTAAATCAACAGGATGTTCTCAAACGTTTGGCAAGGAACTTGACCCTTAAGTGAGGCTGTTTGGCTCAGGTTATGAAATGTTGAAATATAAGTTTTGGGTCTCAATATTTTTTTTGGGACAACAGCAATAATGCACACCGATAAGTCATGTGTGAAGAATATATGATGGGAAATTTAAGACTAATATGTTGGAAACTGTCACTCTGACTAAATCTGTTCTGCACTCCTACTGGCTTGTATTACTTTATTGTCAATTTACAAGTATGTATGTATGTATTGCATTGTATATACTTAAAACAATCCAATTATCCAAGTAAAAATCCAGGTTTAGACATTTGTCTCTTGAGCAGCGACATATGTGTTACCTATCCCTTATAGTCAGTGGATTGCAACTTTCTGTCCTTCTGAATAAAGGCTAGAATAAATAGAATAATTGAATAAATACTAAGTATGTTTTACATTTCTGGTATTAAAATGGCTATTGTTGATAGCTGGATGATATGAGGGATGCCTGCATTTTAACTAATTTCTTTATTTAAAATATAACCATGTCTCTATGTAAAAGATAAGGTTGACACTATTGTCTGATTCTTTTTTCTTTTATACAACAGAGCTCCACAGCTGTCCAGAACTTGTGCATGAGCTGTGTCATGTTTTCCTTCATTGCCATGAACACACACACACACACACACACACTGTAGTTGATTTTGACTCAGACATGTGTACATCGCTCTGCTGGTATAAATACTCACTAGAACACCAAATGTAGAATAATGCGCCACTGAAAATAGTCCCCAACAAAGGCAGTGTTTGCTTCTGTCTGAGGGATGTTTACTAACTAGTACAGTAGCCAGCTTTTGCAGAAAATGACTGAGGGTATTTTAACACTCAAACTATGTATTTGTGTGCTCTTATCAAAGATTTAATGTCTTCATTAGGAACCAATGGGCTTGTGACTGTTTGCAAAACGTATTCTGGGTATGGCAGCAAGTTAAGAAAAGTTAAATTTTTGTTGTCACATGATGTTGTTCAGTAGCATTTGTTGCTGTTTTTGCTATTATTAGACAATGTCACACTTTGTTGAATTTTGGGTAAATGTGCCATTTTGGAAGATCAAGCTTGTCCATCATAGAGATATTCACTACATACGTTACAAGTTAATAAAAAAAACAAACAAACAAAAACAACTACATTATACAGCTACATCAGTAGCAGATGCTTCAGCTACGTCTATATGTCCACTTTAGTGTTGAGTTTGAGCAGACAGGACAAAAATGTATTTATCTGCAGTGTTTGTGTTATCTGCTGACAGCTGTTAGCTAGCATTAGCTCCAGAACTGAGCTGAGATCCGGGCACAGAGTCATTTTTCAATCTGTCGCTCTCATAGATGGGATCTGTAGGTCTCCTACAGTCAGCTAAGGTTATCCATTCTGAATTACCACAGACGGTAAAGGGATATCTAAACAATTTAAGCAGCTTTTTAGTCAAAACAAAACAAGAATGTGTGCAGATAAATGCAGTATGTGTCTCCCAAAATGGTGTCCCCATCCTAACATTCAACATGGTGTGACGTACCTTCACATTCTCTACAGTGACACACCCAAATCTCACACCCTCCTTTATATCATTTTATTAGATTATGCACAAAAAGAGCTCCCAAAGAAGGAGTTCGTTTCATATTCAGTGTCAGCTAAACAGTGGTAATAACAGGTATTTACAGATTGTCCTTTTTTTGTAGGCAGTCAGACAGGCCAACCGTAGATTTGTCCAAATTTATCTTCTCGTGTGGTGAATACTCAAATCCACAAGCATTCAGACATTTAGATCATTGATTATGTTACATTTTCAGGCAGGAGGACTGTTGTGTTTTAAAACTCGCTTCTCATCATCATCATTAGCATCGATGGGCGGCCAGCCCTGGCTAATTCCCCGTGTCAGGCATATTAGCAATGCCCTCAAACACACTGTTCCAGATTTTGGCAATACATTAGCCCCCACTGCTCAAAGCATTTAGCTTGATTTCCCACTCTCCCTACGCCCAGTCCCCAGTGTCCCTCACAAATAATGAAGAGAGCTGTTGTTGCAAGGCTGTGAAAGCCAAAGCGACGGCCAGCAGCCCAAATGTAGATGTGTGGAGGGACAGAGGAAAATTTGGAGGACTGCAGAGGTGTGAAGCGGGGCACCTGATAAATCCCCCAAGTCTGGTTTGGAGTCCAGACTCTTCAGGTGTGACCGTGATAAAAACTCAGGAAAAATGAAGAGTGCTCATAGCCAAGTGGAGAAATTAACCCTGGGTTTGTGTCACAGATGCCCAGAAAATCAGTGTATAGTAACAATATCAAAACTCTTTGACAGATTAGTTGACAATGACAATTACTTAGCTGAACTATAATAAATTATCTTACTTCAGAGGAGAGGAACTTTCTGAATGAACACAGAAATTAATACTTTTACCACAGATTTATTTTTTTGTATCATTAGTGAGTTGATCAGATTTACTAATAATTAATTTTCTCGGTAAAAAGTTAGAAAATAGTGAAAAAGTACATCACAAGTATGATGTCTGCAAATTCCTGGTTTTGAACCCAGAGATATTTATAGCTCATACTACTTGTCGGTTAGTTTGAAATAGCTTCTTAGCTTGTTTTGTTTGACCGACAGTCCAGAACCAAAGATATTCTCTTTTCAATTATATGAAACAGAAGAAGCAGATAATTCTCATGTTTAAAAGGCTGAATACAACAACTTTTTGGCACTTTTGTTTAAAAATGTGCTTGATATTTTTGTCTATCTGCTGTTTGTAGTGTCCTATTGCCTGTTGAAGCATTGTGTCCCACTTCTTCAGTCAGAGGAAGATGGACAGATTTCAGAAACACAACAGGGATGAAAAAAGATCATTTCAGTCGTATCATCCAGCATTTTCAAAGTTTAACATGATTGATTCCACCATGCTGTTGAATTTTGTAAGGTCTGACACCTTCCTGCGCTGTGGCCTCAGTTTGACTGTCGCTCTTCCCATTTCTTCCTCTGTCACTCTATCCTTGGCCCTCAGAAATCTCCATATTGTCCTTATGCTCAGGGGACAAGCAGGTGTATCTTCATCTGTTTCCTGCTTCTCTCTGCCTGTCTTTCCATTTACTTTTTGCCCTTTAACTTCTCCTCAGTTGTCTTCCTGCCTCTCACACCTTCACACAGACACACTTTTTCCTCAACCGGCCCTTTTCTTCCTGCTTTCCGTCGTTTTGACAACCTTAAAGGCAGCAACCTGCTCCCTCTGCACAGCACCTGCTTCCTCACTAATTGAACCGACAGAGGAGGAAAGTAGAGGAGTGGAGAGATGAACAGACTGTCTTGATGAGGGTGGCGGGCCAACACACTTCCTGTCCCCCTGTCTTCTGTCACACACACATTTGCTGTGCCATCTGTAGCCTTGCTAATAACATGAACACACACACAGAGCAGAGGATGAACTGGGAGTGAACTGTTGGATGTCCACAGTGTCCTCTGCTCACTGTCAACAAAGCCAAAAACTTGTGCCTTTTTCTGCTTGTTTTCACTTCCCAACACACACATCACACTCGCCTTTACGTGAACCCGGAGCAGCTTGTGCTTCCATCATTTTTGCTGTTGTCATTGGTATGACCTCTGTTGTTCAGACATGTCAGCCTTGTCATGATCTGCCATGGGCACATCTCTCAAACTGCCAGCTTGTTCTCTGTTATTTATTAATGTGTTTCCTGTCTCGCCCACAGAGAAGTATCGCCTACCTCTTCCCCTCCGGCCTGTTTGACAAGAAAGCACGGCCCCTCATGAAGGTAAGACTGTGTGGGTTAGACTCCTCTGAACACAACTTCTTATCATATAACAGATCTAACTAGCCCTTGGTTGAATTTCAGCACATACTACAGTTATTTGTAGTGCAGATTAAAAGTGTACAAATGAATGAAACAAACAGGACAGCTGAGCCTGCAGAAGTGAAGTAAACTGAGTCAGGTTCACTCTTCACTTTCTGCTCACCAGAACACAATCAATTGCATTGATTAGATTTTTTTACCTAGTTTTTTCACGATAACCCTCGTGCTCTAAAGGGAGTTTTTTTTCCTCATGCAGTGCACATTTCCCAGCATTTTTCTTTCTTGATCCACTTTTTTTGTTCCATTTCCAGCATCCAGAGGAAATATTCCCAAAGCAGAGAGGTATGTAATCTGGGCACCTGCTGACGATTCTATAACTGCCAGTCTTTGCCCATTTGTGTATGTAGTGTAAACTGCTGCTCATTTTTTTTGTAAAGCGATTCAGTGGGGAGCAGACAGACGGCCTTTCCACTTCCTGTTTTACACTGGCAAGCAGATGTACTACTCCGTGATGCATGTGAGTACTACAGGCAGGTATAGTATTTAGCCACCTGCGGCCTCCCCTAGACTGCCTCCTGCACCCTCAGGTCATATCCTGTTCAGAGAGGGTGAGTGTAGACAGTGTATAGACAGCTGCTCTGTCCCTGAAGAGAGGCAACATCAGCTCCTCTCCTCCACACTTACTGAGAGCTGCAGCTGAATAGAGTTGGGCTGAAAGAGAGGTGGGATGTTAGAAGAAGGGGAGACAAAGGGAGGGGCAGTCAGACAAGTGAGACAGAGAGGGGTCAGAGGCCTGACTTAAAGAATGAATCACTGGGAACACCTGTATCCACCTGTACTCCAGAGCTAGTGAACATTGAACTGATAGTGTTGAGTTTCTCTGCTTTCTGAGTATTAAATGGTCAACTGTCAAGAAGAATCATAGACAGTAATGGTTGATCACGTCAGTTTCAGATTATCACACATGATTGGTGTACAGTCACTCTTATTTGCCCCTGACTGTTCCATTTGTTTCCTTTGTGGGTTTGAAGGCCAACACATAGACAAGAAGAGAATCCCCTTTGTGAAACATTGATAAAAATGTCCAGGCTTTTTACCATTTCAGGGAGACTACAAGACTAAAGTCTTATTAGCAAGGGTTTAAAATGATGAAACAGGGAAGAAGGTTGAAAGAGGAGGAAAACCTGAGATGTGAGTTTAGTGTTCAGAATAAAAATGTCTTTATTCTACTACAAAGTTGGTCGGAGGAATGCCAAACTGGGCCAACAGGGGCCGTCAAACACGTTTAAACATGTAAATTATAAATAAGCTATGTCTTAAAACACTGTATAGAAGAGATATATTCACGTGTTGGTTGAGATGGAGAGAAAGGAAAAAAACATTTTCAAGTGCATGTTTTTGTATTCAGGTTCTAAATTGTGTTTGAGGTGTGGCACGTCAGGCTTCATCCCGCCGCAGGGAGCAGCTCCTCCACAGGGATTTGGAGTGAGTCGGTGAGGAGCTGCCACACCATTTGTACTGCTCCTTACCTCTGGACAGACCTCTTCCTCATCTTTTGTTGCTTCCTTATTCAACTATTTCCCTCCTGGCTGCCAATCTTGTTCAAAGATGTTTCATAGATAAATGTGTCTGTATCTAAAACAGAGAGCAATGATCTCTGGAACCTCTTCCTCCATCTTTTGTTGCTTCCTTATTCAACTGTTTCCTTCCTGGCTGCCAATCTTGTTCAAAGATGTTTCATAGATAAATGTGTCTGTATCTAAAACAGAGAGCAATGATCTCTGGATATTGGTCCAAGCTCACATACACACACAGACACGCTCCCCATTGTGCCCTGCAGCCACAATCTGCCCCCC